TTTTTTTTAACCTTTTTAAAACTTTCTTTGTTTTGGCAACCCTTTGTCCAATAGATCAGATGCTATGCTTCTTGATTGTGCCTTCTTTTCTATATCCTGAGAAGATCTGGTTTTGACACTAGATAAAACTTTTTGATTGTAATAATTCTATTTTATGAGACTTTTTCCTGATTGTAAACAAAGCTGAAGTTCTACTGATGCCTTCTTTCATAGTATCCTGGGTATTATTGGATGATTTCTAATAAGAGATTGCACAAAGTTAGTGAGCATTACATTTGGTTTACCCCAGGTTACATTTAGTGCAACCCAGGGTCCTTGCACACACTGTGAACAAGTACACGCTTATAACTGTTGCACCTTGAATTTTTGTTGTTTCAAAAAGTTCCAGGAACAAACAAAACAAAACTCATTGGATCCAGAGATGCCCTCTGAATTGGAGATTAATTTGGCAAACTCCCCACATTACCATACAAAAAAATCCCACCCAAGGAGGAGTTTATTTGCCACTGTCTATACATGTGATGTATGAAGAAGCATGATCGATGACTTTACTTCTGCATACGATGACTGAGCTAAGCAGCTCAATACAAGCCCTGTTTTCAGCTTTGTTCTAGGAGGAACTGCTTTGGGAATTATCCGCAGTATTCTCCTTACTTGTTGCAAATAATGAAATCCCCTTGTTAAATTTTCCTTGGTTGTGGTCATTGGACTGTCACTGGTCAAGCAACTGAACTCACCCATTGTGTGGGTAACAGTGGCAGTCATATTTGAGGCTCTATTACTTTTCGCTGTTCCACTTTTGGTGTTTATAGGCTGAGGCTCTGTGGCTTTTGGAATAGTAATTGAAAATTTCTTTGTTGTTGCAAAACTCTCATCTTTGTCTTGTAGAGGTTTTCTAAATGAATTAATCTTAGACTGAACAATTTGGCCACAAGATTCCATCACAGACTTCTTGGGTATGTCAGCCTCTTGCTTTTGTTTTTCTTCAATTATTTGTTTCTGTTTACTATTATTGTTATGGTAAAATGTCTTATGTTAATGCCATACGTTGACGTTGGGGGTCATCTTCAGTTGGTAACAACTTCAGAGTTTATTATCCTCAAATTTATGTGTGACAATTACTGTAGTTGAATTGGTCAGTTCATTAGAAGGTTTTAAAGGAATGCAATTTTTACCACCATTGTATTATTTTTGCTTCTCATGAATCTGTTGACATTTTCTTTATCAGCCAGTTCTGATTTAAGTTTCAAAATATTTGTCTTTTCTTGGAACTGGTCCTCAAATGTCACCACTCTCTGGCCTCTATTGACATTACACAGCTATGATAGCCAACTTACAGATTCCAGCCCAGGTCCTTATCATTCTTAGATGCAAAAAGCCTGAACAGTATCTGATTTTCTGATTTTCATGTTTATATGCAAAAAATGTTTTTCTTCTTAACAGAGGACTCTTGAGTCTGTCTTATTTGTTCTTTGAATACGAATTGGGCTTCAGGGGCCACTGCAGGTCCCAAGACATGGCTTGGGTATTTGTCACAGCCTGAGGTGAGGGGATCCATCTTCAGCTTTGACTCCTTCAGGCCAGAGCCAGTGAACATTGCCTATTTGTTTTTCTTGTGTAGTGAAAATCACAGTTGAATACTGTGTGGCACCCATTTTGCTTTGATTCACACCATTTCCTTAGTGCCACTCAGCAATTAGTGAAATGATCTCTGGTATTGCACAAAAAATGAAATGCTTCAAGAATTTGCATGTCATCCTTGCTTACAGCCCATGCTAATCTTCTCTGTATTGTTTCAGTCTTAACATATGTACTGCTGAAGCAAGGACTAAATTATTAATTAATATGTATGACACTCCTTCATCTTATCCTTGCATTTCAGTCTCTCCCTCCCCCTCCTTTTTTTTCTTGTTCTTTTTGATTATCCCAGGGATGATGATGATAACAGCACTGACTCAGTGATGGGTTAGGTGAGGGTCAGGGCTGTTTGTTGCACACATTTGTGAGATGTCAATGAAAAAACTGTTCCTGGACCAAACTGAGGGTTGGGCTGCTATTTCTCGTGGCCCAATAATGAGATGCAGATGAACGGGGGAGGAAGAGAGTTTTATTTCTGTAACCTGTTACCGGGAGAAGGCCTGGAAATTATCACTAGACCAACTCAAAATTACAGAGTTTTCCAGAGCTTATATATCTTCTAAGCTATATGTCAGTGTGTAAGTGTGCATTCATCTAAAGACATAAGTGATTAATTTATTTTAATCCATAACTAAGGTCTGAGTCCTGAAGACCTTCCTCTGAAGCCTCAGTAAATTTACTTAATCTAAATGGGTCCAGGTCTTCGGGTGATTACCCTTATCTTGTTCTTGCTAAATCACGGAGATTTGGGGAGTTCTTTAAGACCTCCAAAAAACTTGTTTATGGAGGCCTGCGGAGTTTCTTCAGACCCACAATAAAACTTGTTTAATCCTAAATGGGTCCTGTTAAGAATTCCTTCATTATTTTGTCATGCTTTAAGGCCCAAGAAAGGCATAGGCAAAACTCTTGATGGGCTTTTGTTATATTCCAGCCTTTGTATAAGGCCACCAGCTTTTTTTAGTTTTTAATATTTACGAAACCACTCAGTCAGTACTGAAACTGTTGTGATAGAGGCCTGCATTAGTGAGACATGGCCTGCCACAAAACCACTAGTGGGAAGTCAAAGTCATATGATGTCAAAATAACGGTCAAAAATTCTTATTTCAGGATACATATTTCTTACTTCCATGCCTCATTTAAGCTGTTGTATCTAGTCCTAGCCCTACACCTGTTCTTCAGGACTCCCTCTGCTCAGCACTCATCCACTTTGGGAAGCTTCCCTTGACCTCTCCAATCACCATCATGATTATAGTATTCAATGCTCCCTTAGTACTCTATACACAGTAAAAAAAAAAAAAGCAATTTTTTTTTTTTTTTTTTGAAATCCCAGCCCAAGTTTTATTTTGTCCCATTGGCTTTAACTGAGTGGACCAGTCACTATGTTACTGGTGACATGTCTCACTCTGTTGCCCAGGCTGGAGTCCAATGGCGCGATCTCAGATCACCGCAACTTTTACCTCCCAGGTTCAAGCGATTCTCCTGCCTCAGCCTCCCAAGTAGCTGGGATTACAGATGCATGCTACCATGCCTGGCTAATTTTTGTATTTTCAGTAGACACAGAGTTTCACCATGTTGGCCAGACTGGTCTCAAACTCCTGACCTCAGGTGATCCACCTGCCTCAGCCTCCCAAAATGCTGGGATTACAGGCATGACCACTGCCTGGCCCAGTCTATACTTCAGATATCCTATTCAAATTATTATGTGGTGACTTTTGAAATGGAAACTATGTTTCATTCATCTTTGTAACCCCAGATCTTAGCTGAGTGAATGGCATATAGGAGACATTTGATAAATGTTTGCAGAATTAATATATAGACTAAGTCAGAAGGAACCTACTATGGTTTGAATATTTGTCTCCCTCCAAAATTCATATGTTGGCACTTAAACCACAAGGTGATGATGTGAAAAGGTAAAGCCTTTAGGAGATGATTACGTCCCTTTAGAACCTTTCAGATCAATGCCCTTATAGGAGGGCTGAAGAGAATTAGCCAGTTCCGTTTTGTCTTTCTGTTTCGTCTGCCACCTTAAGACACAGCAGTCCTTCCCTTCAGAGGATGCGGCAGCAAGGCACCATCCTGGAAGCAGAGACCAGGTCCTCACCAGATATCACACCTTCTGACTCCTTGATCTTAGACCTTATAGCCTCCAGAACTGTGAGAAATAAATTTCTATTGTTTATAGATTACCCAGTCTCAGATACTTTGTTATAGCAGTGCAAATGGACTAGGGCAGAACCTTAGAAAGCATTCTACTCAACATGGAACAACATTCTGATAGTCATCCAGTCTCTGGTTAAATATTGGTAACAATGGTGCCATTGAAAAAATTCATTCAAACATGGCTGCTGGTGCTGCAACACATTTGCAATCTCTAACTGCAACTAGATCCTAAAAGGTGCACCATAATGCACTATTAGTGGCTCTCAATTTCCATAGCTGCTACTTCAAATTTATTACCTTGTCCTCAATAGTTATTCTAAAGTGAATCTGGAAAATAAACAATAACAACTAAAACAAACAAAACCTTCTTATGAGAAGAGTATGTCATAGACCTTATCTCTCGGCAATTAATGTACGTTATAAAAATGTTTTAAGATCACAGCAGCATGGTATTAGCACTAGAATAGACAGATAAATGAACAGAACAGAGAGTCCATGAAAAAGCTCAAGTATATACAAAGATTTAATTTATTTTAATGAGACTATTTCCTATCAGCAAATGGTAGTCTAATTTTTAAAGAATAAATGATGTTGAAACTGAATAACTGTGAACAAAGTAAGGTGACATTTCTATAATATGACATATACCAAAGTAAACTCTAGATTATTAAGTGGAAAAATCAATACCATAAAAATATGAGAAGAAAATATAGATAAATATTTATATAATCTAGGAAAAAAAATGAGGTCTTTTTATGCCATAACACTGGTTGTCGAGACGTAAAAGATTAAGAGATTTTATGTTAAAATTTTTTTTTTCCTGCTTATTTATTTATTTATTTTGAGACAGAGTCTTACTCTGTCGCCCAGGCTGGAGTGCAGTGGCCTGATCTTGGCTCACTGCAACCTCTACCTCCCAGGTTCAAGTGATTCTTCTGCCTCAGCCTCCCAAATAGCTGGGATAACAGGCACATGCCACCGTGCCCTGCTAATTTTTATATTTTTAGTAGAGATGGGATTTTACCATGTTGGCCACACTGGTCTTGAACTCCTGACCTCAAATAATCCACCTGCCTCGGCCTCCCAAAGTGCTGGGATTATAGGTGTGAGCCACCATGCCCAGCAAAAAATTTAAACTTTTTATGCAAAAAAGAAAATCACAATAATGGTGAAGTTCAAGTGAAAAGTTGAGGAAGGAAGGATAACAGAAAATAACATATAGCTAAAAGATTGTTAGTATTAATGAAAAGAATAAAAAATTGATTTAAAAAAGCCAATTTGCCAAAAAGAAAGAAATTTAAATGGCCAATGAATCTATGAAGGATTATTTATATTCATAGTAGTTAAATAAATGCAATTTAAAACAATAAGATACTGACCAGGTACAGTGTTGTGCACATATAGTCCCAGCTACTCCGGAGCCTCAGGAGGGCGAATGGCTTAAGCTCAGGAGTTTGAGGCCAGTCTGGGCAACGTGGTGAGACTCTGTCTCTAAAAAATAAAAAGAGGCCAGGCATGGAGATTCATGCCTATAATCTCAGCACTTTGGGAGGCCAAGGCAGAAGGATCGCTTGAGGCTAAGAGTTTTAGACCAACCTGGGCAACATAGTAAGATCCCATCTCTACAAATAAAAAATTAGATGAGATAGTGGCACATGCCTATAGTCCCAGCTACTCAGGAGACAGAAGGTTTCCTGAACCCTTCAGCTGCAGTGAGCCATGATCTTACCACTACACTCCATGGCTTGGGGGATAGAGTGAAACTCCATCTCTAAAAAAATAAAAAGAATTCAAGCAATAAGGTACAAGTTTATGCCAATCAGATAATTAACATTTTCAAATGCATAAAACCCATTGGTGATGATTATGCAAGGAAATGGGCACTTTCTTATATTTCTGGTAGGACTATAAATTGGTATAACTTTAATGGAAGGCAATTTAATGACTTGTATCTACAGATTAAGAATTGCCTACTATTGGCTCAGCCATTCTGCTTCTAAGAATTTTTCTCAGGAATACAGTGCAGGGAGTTAATCCAGGGCCTGGCAGGCAAGTTTGTTCCCTCCTTTCAGACCAGAGGCTGCCACCGCTTCCATGCTCCACCAGATCCTCAGTAGGGTCAAGAAGCAACCACGCTTGATCCCCCTTCGTATTTATTAAATCTGGAGGTACTGGAGCAGCGCTGTATGTCCCGTCTGGCATTGTTCATTCAGGATGTTAGTTGGGACAGAAGACATAAGCCAGAACCCTGGAAGAAACTGGGTCCCAATAATCAATACAAGTTTCACTCAGTAAATATAGATTATAGCAAACTGAAGAAAGAAGGTCCAGACTTCTAAATGGCATGTTTCACCATAAAGCTGCTTACAATGCAGGTCTTCTAGAAGCCTTCCAATTTTCCACTTAACCAGGAAATATCCTCTAAATGCATAAAATACCTTGATGTATTGTGTTGGGGATGACACTGATTGTATTTGAAACTTGGGAGAAGAAAAAGAAAACTTTTCCCAGAAGTAACTTTGGACATGTGCAAGGAGTTACTTACTGAAACGTACATTACGGAATTAATTTTAAAAGCTTAAAAGGCAAAAACAGTCTAGATAGCCAACAGTAAGGTAACTTACTTTTTTTGTTTTGTTTTGTCTGAGACAGTCTTGTTCTGTCACTCAGGCCAGAGTGCAGCGGCGCTATCTCGGCTCACTGCAACCTTCGCCTCCTGGGTTCAAGCAATTCTCAAGCCTTAGCTACCTGAGTAGCTGAGATTACAGGTGTGCACCACCAGGCCCTTCAAATTTTTGTATTTTTAGTAGAGATGGGGTTTTGCTATGTTGGCCAGGATGGTTTTGAACTCCTGACCTCAAGCGATCCACCTGCCCTGGCCTCCCAAAGTGCTGGGATTACAGGCATGAGCCACTGCACCCAGCCCATAGTATATTTTTAAGTGAAAAGCATACTGCATTCCATTTTTAAATGGGAAAATAGCTTGAATAGACATTTCTCCAAAGAAGATATTCAAATTGCCAACAAGGAC